CACTGTTGCTTATTAAGCTAATTTTTTTAATTATATAGAATGAAAAACAAACTGACTACCCGAATACGAAGAGTGGCAACCATCAGCTGTGAACATGAACAGCACTGTGGACCTCACAGAAAACACTCTGATGCTTTTCATGTGTTACTCTCCATAAAGGTGGCAAACAAGCATACAGCTCGTCTGACGGTAAACGGTCACTGTAGCCTATGGACGCCTGTAACACTAGGGGTGTCACGTACGCATTGCCAACTCTGAAAAAAACTTAACCCTTTTTGAAGTACCCTATACTATAGTCTCTAGAGAAAACCTCGGCAGGAAGCTTATTCCACAGCTTGAGCGTTCCCGAGAGAAAATTCCTTTGATCCGCTCTGTTCGCGAGAGAAAACTCTTTTGATCCGCACTGTACATGACCATTTAAATTTAAGCGTGTAAGGATAAATTCCCTGTCGATGACGAGCGATACAATGATAGAAGGTATATAGGCATAATTTCAAACAATTTCTCAGAACACAATCCGTTATACAAGCGGTAAATGGTATTATAATTATTATGTTTTAGTAATCTGTAATTTCCATATTGCTACCACTATGTTCTATTCTTCAAACTTAAAAACAGCCATGTAAGCACAACTGCTTCACGGCATAGACATGCCGAACATGGGCAGAGATACCCTCCAAACGAGAAACTAAGTAGGATAGTCCCGTCACAATATGTTCCACGTAAAAAAAAAATTAAAAAATATAAACTTTACATACTACTACATTAATTAATGCTTACTGCCAAATATTTTATACGTACATTCTGTGGATTAGTAATACGCAAGGAACCTACAACGTTTTTTGGGTTCAGTTAATAATGCTTTTAGGATGTTGGCAGTACTCCCGCAGTTCTATAATACTGCAAGCATATTTGCGGAAGCACATACAGACGGTTTTCACTCCATAATAAAGAGAACTGCCTCCTTGTGACGTATGATGTGTAGAAGCGCCGAAAACATTCTAAAGGTTTAATTGTAGAGAAACCAAGCATCTACTCCAGAAGGATAGAAACGCTATGTATTGTTACGGGTCCAGAGCGGCTGGAGGTAGTCAGTGAACTATAACATTGTCTTTTACTACTCATAACATAATTTCCAAAGTTTTCTACTAACACGATATGGATTATAATCCGAATGAAGAATTTATTCATCATCATCATTATATCAGCCGTTAATTGCTATGGAATGAGCTCCCTGCCGAGGTTTTCCCAAGAGATTACAGCATGGGGTTCTTCAAAAGGGGGGTAAAGAGGTTTCTTCAGGGTCGGCAACGCGCGCATAATGTATCTGGTATTGCAGGCGTTCATAGGCTACGGTAACCGCTTACCATCAGGTAGGCCGTATGCTTGTTTGCCACCTCAGTGGTATAAAAAAAAATTGTCCACACCATTAAGGGTGATTTGCAAGTAGTAGCCACAATTGGCAGGCGGGTTGGCAACTGCAATTAGGCTTTTGGTAATATTTTAAGAGGGACGCTGCAGCCCTTCTATCAATCATTAAGGGTGGCCCATTCTATACCGGTATCATACGGCAAAAAATCTATTATTATAGGTTACTCCATTCCTATCTAGTTACTATTTAATACTAGATCCTAGCTCTATAGTTACTATGAGAATCTCTTAATTTTTTGTCGTTCTTCAACCCATATTTCTTTAAGATAAATGTTCAGTTTTACTGGTCACAAGAGTCCCTTCAATGAATGCTAATGATTTTTAGAACATCCTGTATGTCACTAATTATGTATCTATTTTATTAGTATGTACAGGATTTATTTTAATATTCTAAATGGAAAAATAAATTGAGCCGAATCACTGGTCAGTTGATTAGAATTGTTTTATTTAAATCCGCCATCATTAGTATGCGTGCGACCATCGACATTTAAAACTAAGGACTAACTATTATTAGTATTCAACAAAATTATTTTAATCAAAGAACCATCGAATGAATTTCCGTAAAATAATATATATATAAATCCTATATTTCGTTCGTTGGTTCGTTCTTTTACATTAGTTTCCGAAACCGCTCAGCTGATTCTAATAAAATTTTGTAAATACGTACTATTTGCTCCAATTTGAGAGAGAGACTTTGTACAAAAGTCGATTGCTTGGGTACCTCTGTTTAATTCGTGATTCTACCGAGAAGCAGTTGTGTTTGCATAGCTGTGTTTCGGTTTGAAGGGTGAGATATATACAGGGTACAGAGGAATAACACCTGAGTCCTCAGGAATGGCAACGCATGGTATCATGGGCGAAACAGTATACTCTGTTATGCCCATGGTACTGCTCATGTATATAGGCGACGGTTACCACTTTGCATCAGGCGGGCCGTTAACTTATTTGCCATTCTAAGTTGTATAAAAAAAAAAAAGATAAAGTAGTTTCCATCTTGATAATAAAAAATATTCGCTATTGGTGGCAATAGAAGGCAAAGCTGAATTAAATAATTTTCAACTTTCTTTCTCTTACTTAAATATATAAAATAGCATGGTGTAGTTATTAGTAATGGAGATTAATAGCCCATTGTTAGCAATGACAATACCGCGTATAGGTCAACCTGATAAGTTATATTGCTAGCAATGGGACTGCTAAACCTCCTTTACCCCTCCCCTCATGTTTTTGATTGGAAGCAGCTATGGTTACATGTTTTTTTTAATGGGTGATAATGGAAGGGTAACCCCACCAGCGCTATCGGTATACACCGATGGGGCACCAGTGAAGGTTGATAGGTGAGGATGAAGCAGATCAGTTAGTCCATCGTGACGAATTCAATAAGAATTGTTCACGATGGTTTCAGTCAGGGGGAACCACGTGGAGATCGACCTAATAGGGCATATTACTAGCAATAGGGCTGTCAAACTCCATTACTAATAATCCCTTTCCCTTCATGATTACATGGTTATGTTTCAGTTTCAAGAGTAGGATATAACAATGAAATTACAGGTTACGGATGCATAACGCCTTAGTTCTCAAGAACGGGATTAAATGCATGAGAGGTACCTTGGGCATCATAGTTTACCATGTGACGTCCATGGTACTGTTCCTGTCTATAGACAACGGTTACCGCTTTCCATCAGGTGAGCTTCCTGCTAAATCGCCATTCTGAATTAAAAAAGGAGTAAAGAGGTTTCTTCAAGGTCGGCAACGCGTGCGTAATGCCCCTAGTATTGCAGGCGTTTATAGGCTACAGTACCTGCTTACAGTCAAGTAGGCCATATGCTTGTTTGGATACAAAAATCATAAAAATGAGTATAAAACTGCTCTATGTGTTTAAACAAACCTTACCCGTTTGCAATAATTCTGCCGCTCTTAACATAACGTTTACATAGGGTTCAGTATTGGACGCGTATCCGACAAGGCTGTTTCTTGATGACGCCAAGAGATCAACGGAGCTGAGAGGCGCTTCAGGTTCCGCTTGCAACGGCGTCAGGAACACTGGTTTAGCAATGAACACCGCTATAAGGAATAGTAGTCCAGCGAACAGGTTCTTCGCTAATAACATTCGCCATCTTCGTCTAAAATTTGTATAAATAATGATAAACTTTTCATTTATCGTTTCCATTTGGTCCAGTCATAGAATAGGCCACCCTTTCCTTTCCCGTGGGTGTCGTAAGAATCGACGAAGGAAGGGCGAGGGATAGGCAGTAGTGTCCCTATTAAAATATCTCTAAAGCCTAACTGTCGTTGCCAATCCGCATGCTAAACGTGGCAATTACTGACAAAACGCTCCAAGGAGGAGGCTTATGTTCAGCTGTGGACAATTAAAGGCTGATATGATGATGATGATGTTTCTTTACCTGTACGTAACGTCCTTTTAGTGTGTTGATAGAGGAAACTGAGTGCCAGAGAATTGGTTCGTCCATTTTCATAATTTGTGCAATTATGTTTAAAAAAAAGATACCTTTCAAGCGCTCGGAAAAATCAAGAGATAATGCTAAATTAATGCTCCTATAACATTTGCCTACTTACGCTTTCGCTCAAATAATAAACTCTAGCTATCCTTTTGTTGGGAAATGTATAAATTAAATAAAGTAATTCGTATGTATGTGGCTGCGTTAAAAACATTTTTCAATGGACTTAAAAAAAAAGAGGTTCCCCTTATTATGTTTGTTACCTCATAACTTCGTCAGTTGTAAACCGACTCAGATTTTTTTTTTATTTGGGAAGATATACTTACAGATTAGGCCCATAAAAACTTTATCATAATCATAAGGTTCAATAGATTAGTTTTTTAATCAAAATAACTAGTTTTGCCACATTTGAGGTCAGTTCTTTTTGTGGAACACACTTAATTATTTCACTTATTCTCTGACCTTATAACATATCCTTGATACTACTAACGATATTTATCGCCAAATTTTACTCCGCTTATTTTTTTTAATTGTGTCATTACGTTTGCACATGAATGAATAGTATTTAAATTAGTGATTAAAAAAAAATTACTACTTACTGTCTTTGCAGGTAACATTTCCATATGAGAATACTGGTGTATCGTTGGAAGCGACTTGTATGAAACGACTTTTGAAATAAACAAAGACTTTTGTCATAAAATAGTAGCATTTGGTTGGCATCTCCATTATAAAGTTTTACTTCAGTTGATATATTGGCGATAGACCACAAACAATCAAAGTGGAAAAATCCAAAATTTGAAGGATTTTCTGAACAAAACCTTTACTTCCTCTACCTGTACTATAACCTACACCTTAAACCAATACTAATATATCAGTCAAATATTTGAAAATAGGTCATCGACGTTATGGGTTATTTCCCTATACCATCATTGATATATTACATAAAAATAGTTACTAAAATAGTATCTAAAATTTTTTAAAATGACCCTTAAAGCACTACAATAGAGATTACCGAGAAATATCAGCAAAATATCAAAGTGTGAAAATTATCGCTCGCATACTAAATAGTACGTGACATAATTATGTAAGTAATATATATATAGGCATGTTTTAAGCTGTCATATCAGTGTTAGGACGTTAATTTAAAGTAACAGGATGGCTCACTTAACAATCTGTGTTGGATTTATTTTTCTAGTCATCCTTAATTTTACACCTATAGACGCAGGTTAGTTAAAATAAAATATTCTGTTACTATCGATTACCTCCTTAACAATTGTGAAATAAAATTGATCCAATTCAATGCTAGATCTATACTTGTTTTAATATAATTTAAATTTGGAATTGTTAGCATGATCTCCTTATCCCCAGAATAGTGTGGTGACAACTTTTACATTAAAGTGTAGTGTTGAAAAACATAATTTTTTAAGCCATAGTTACATAATTTAAATTAAAAAAAAATTATGACATTTTTAAATATTCGTATATAATAATATTTTATTTAATTTGAAATATGATTATTTATATGATTCTTTTAGATATACGAGCATGTTTTCTATTCCATTGTATTGTATTGGTTCGGTTTAGAAGATATCATAAATATTTGCCATTGTATTTTGTAAAATAATAATGTCATAAAGTCGTCTGGACAAATTTAACAATGCGCGTGATGTGTTACTTTTGTAACCGTTTACCATCTCTATGTATAATGTACATTTCGAGAAGTAAAACAGAATTATCGTACTGTCTTACATAGTTATTAAAAATGTTAATAATCATCTTTCTGTTTATTTTTCATCAAGAACACAATTAAGTTTTTAATATCTAAACTTTAGAAGTCCATAGTAAGAAAATTATTCTCTACGTCAGTTTAGGCTGTATGGGCTGCGTTCCCTACGTCTATTCTACAAAAGAATGAATACGAGAAAAAAAAAGAAAAAAAAAAGACAAAAATAGCAATTCATATTTCTGACGTTTGATACTTTTAAATTCAATGAAGGTCTATAGAAATATTATCTCCTCATATATGAAAAATCAATGCAATTTATGACTAGGCTGTATAGTCCACGTTCCTTGCCCTGTCCAAATTTAGACATATTTTTAAACAACAATAGTAATTTCTATTTTTAAATTACAGAAACCCGCGTAGTACGCTCTCCACAATTCGGATCATACGCTAATTCAAATGCACAAGCCAACGCTGGTAGCTACTATGGCAGGCCTGGATATAACGGTGGTCGCTATGAACAGCCCAGATATATAGGTGGTGGTGGATACGGCAGACCAAGAGGTCCACCTCTACCGCCACCTAGACTAGAATATGGAAGGGGTCCGGAATATGGAAGGGGTCCGGAATATGGAAGGGGTCCAGAATTTGGAAGGGTTCCAGAATATGGAAGGGGTGATCGGGGTAACTTGAGACGTTTAGAAGACGGCTCTGGTACCATCAGCATATCGAAGAGCATTAGTATAAGCCGTGGAGGGGAGGGCGGCCTCTCGCAGTCAAGTGCCAACTCTGCAGCGGCGGGAAAGCGAAGATAACTCAAGTGGATATGCTCGTCTTATGTGATACATTGTACTCGAAAAGAGTTAAATTACTATTGTTTATGATGGTATAAAATTAAAAAAACATCTTTCTTATGTGTTTTTGTTACATTTTTTTTATATATAATATATTTTTTATTATTATTATAGACTTGAAATTACAGTTTTAATGTTTGGATGTCCACTTTGTTAGTCCAGAACAAAGTGGATATCCAAATTTAAGAATATCAGATCTTTTGTAACAGGTGGAAATATTTGGAGTTATTATTTTATACATAATTTTCATGTCATCATTTCAGTCTAACTGTCCACTGCTGAACATAAGCCTTCCCCATAAGAGGAGTTTTGCCAGTAGTTTCCACGCTTGACAACTGCAGTTAGGCTTGTAGAGATGTTTTAATAAGGACGCTGCTGCTCATCCCTCTATTAAATTCCTTTAGTTGCCTCTTACGACACCTACAGAAAAGGAAGGGGTGGCCTATTCTATGCTGGGATAACACGACCTATCATTATATTTCTTCATATAATCACCTTCTTATAAATAAGTCAAGCAATATAATTTCTGTACTACGCTGTTATTACTTTATCTAATTAGCTAAAAGCTTTAAAGATTTACGTGTTCAAAATAAAATACACAGACATTATATCCTCATCACCCCTCATACTTGAAATTGCTAGGAAACTGTTATTTTTTAAGGTATTTTTAAAACTCAAATAAATAATATGGCTCAATATATTACGTACTGAGTGTATTATAAGTTTTAAAATTTCAGCGGAATGTAACATATCAGCGGTAACATAAAAAAATAAGTAAAATCGGATATTTTGTGACAAAACTATGTAATTAAATTAAATTTGATCAACTTTTGTATTTTAATTTGTAATCATAGAATCCTTATAAAAATTGTTTTTTGGATTTGGCAGTTTAAGAATATTTTGCTTTTAACAGACTGTGAGCCTGTAAAAGCAAAATTTATTATCCTAAAACTGAACAACTTTCTCCAATAAAAGTTGCAATACAAAAAGCGGTAAAGACGTTCCATTACAAACCATTATAAATTAATCATCAATTCAAAACAACGTACCATATTTTTTTTTATACAACTTAGAATAACAAACAAGCTGACGGTCCACCTGATGGATAGTGGTAACAGTCGCCTATAGACATGAGCAGTACCATGGACATAACAGAGTATACTGTTTCGCCAATGATACCCCCCATGCGTTGCCATTCCTGAGGACTCAGGTGTTATTCCTCTGTACCCTGTAAATTCACATCATATCCCACCCTTCAAACCGAAACACAGCCATGAAAACACAACTGCTTCACGGTAGCAACACCAATGGGACAGAGGTGCCCAAGCAATCGAGTTTTGTACAAAGTCTCCCTCTGGTAAATACTATGTATTCTACAGGATTGGTCATAATAAGTATACTAAGCTGAGACTGGTGCATGCATAAATTCACACATAAAACTGACAACTCGGGTAATGATATTCAGTTTCATAAATGATATTTTAACTTAGCTTTGAACCTTTTCAAAATAAATCGATGCGGTGACTGTGAGATTTCTGTAAAAAGTATTGATAGATATCTTTATTACCAACAACAGTAATAATTACAGTTAAAAGAAACAAGTATATTTTTTTATGCAATTTAGAATGGCATACAAGCTGACGGCCACCTGATAGAAAGTGGTATGGTATAATATAGTATAAGTACCACCTGATCACACTAATCGTCTGATCATCATAATAGAATGAGTGTAAAAAAGCATTTGCAGATTAGGATTAAGCTCCTTGCGAGCAGCCGGCCGGCAGCACACCTGCAATGCCGCTGGTGTTGTGGGTGATCATGGGCGGCGGTAGTCACTTACCATCAGGTGAGTCGCATGCTCGTTTGCCCCCTGTGTTGTAAAAAAAAAAGTGGTTGAATATCATAAATTCGTATGAGATGAAAACAAAGAAGGGCATGATTAGGTATGTATGAAAATAAAATGTTCAGACAAGATGAATCTGACACTACATTCTGATAATACAAAAAAGTTTCGTCTTCATGACTAGCAAATATTTGATGCTTCTGTTTCCTAAAATAGAAGATAAATTAATGCAGTGGTCTAAAATGTATATGTACTCCTGTGAAGTTTATATATAGATATACGTATATATTTGTGAAAGAAATACCTATGTGTTTCGATTTAAGTTTCTATAAAATGTTATTTAGTTTCATTAGTACAACAAAACTTACTTAAAACATACATTTATATATTGACGTTATTGTACGTATGCATATCTCTATATGTATCTACTTAAAAAACGAACAGTTTCGTGCTTCCAGACAAACTGTTTATATTTACTCTTCTCCATCCAAAGGTTGCCTGGAAGAGGTCGCTGTTAGCGATAAGGCCGCCCATTGTTTTCTTAGTGTAATATTCTCTTGTAACTGTTTATATTTATAATAAGTTTACTATTATAATCTTATAGAGAAAACAATAAAGAGTATCTATCTATTTATCTACCAAAGAATCTCGAATTATTATAACCTTTCTATACTCAATAAGAGTAGGTAAAACACTTGTTGAAGTCATCAAATTTTACCGCAGGTATTTTACCAAGCTTCCAGTTCGCACAGAGTTTATGCAGACTAACAAAATTGTGTGAATTGCCTAAGTGCTACAATAGTTAGCATGTGTACATTATCAATTGATAGATGTCACCAGACGAGGTTACTATTCTTGGAAAACATCAAATATCTCACCAATCAATTTTACCTATAAATGGGACCATTGTGGATTGTCTATCTCAGAACGATTTGAACCTTCATCAAGATGTCCAAATTAACAGTCGCCATATTGGCACTTACTGCGCTGTCAGTTCAAAGTGTTGTGCTGAATAATGAAGGTAGATGTTTTTGAAACATTTTTATCTGTTAAGCCTTCTGGTAAGCCACTAGGTGTACTAGGTATATCGATTGTTCCCCATTTTTTCTCTGATTTTAAATTACGTAAATTATTACTTTCTTTGATCATATGTGTAACGTAAATATTACCTTTTAAGAAAGGTTTAATTTCGATAAAGACTTGTGCTTATTTTAAAGTTTTACTTTACAATGAATACTACTTTACTACTATAACTAATCAAGTGAACTATACCATACTAGTCAAGTAAACAAAGATCTTTGATCTATGTTACTGGATGTTGGGAATTTCTTGCGTTGGCCTTAAAATTGATCATGAGTTCTTCAGACTGTAGTCTAAATTATCTTCTTTCCTTCGTTCATCAGTATAATAATCCACATGCTCTTATTAGCTTTTTGGAGAACGACTTTTTAATAAACTCTCCCAGTCTTCCTATTATCTCGCTAGCATACGATATAAATCTAGAAAATTATTTCTATTATCATTGCAGATGCCTCATTGAAGAGGATAGCACGTTCTCCGTGCGATGTTTGCGGCGATCGCGACGGATTTGGACCACATTACGGACCACCTGGTCCCCCACGCTGGCCACCACCACCACCAATGTTTCGCACACATCACTGGAGCGGATTTGCACGAAATTATGACGGTTCGCGGCAAGGTGTATTCAGTGGTGCAGAAGCTGCTGCTGAAGGTGGAGCTCAAGCATCTGGTCAGGCATTTTCTGTAGCATCTTCGAGAGGTGACGGAGGCTTCGGTGGATATGGTAGTCAATCATCGGGCTCAAGTGCATCATCCGGCTTTGGTAAATCTGCTAGTGGATTTAATAGCCAGCCTATTGACTCCGGTGCAGGTTCTAGCGGATTGGGAGGACAGATTTCAAGTGGACGTGCTGATAGGTTATCATCTGGCTTCAGTGGATCTGCAGGTGGCCAATTTCAAGCAAGTGGGAAATACAAAGAATCACAGTATTCCTTCCAAGGAAGTGGTGGAAGACGATTCAATTCTAATGATGGATCTGTGCAATCTTTGCAAACAAATGGTGGCTTCAACGGGAACGCACAACGTGCTGAATCTGGAGGATTAGGTGCATCTTCTCAAAGTCAAAGCTCGTCATTTGATGTCAGAGGAGGCTCTAAAGAATTGGGAGGATCAAAAGGCTATGAAGTTAATAGAGGCGCGGTAGGTAAAGACGTCTCAGGGTCTAGATTTTCTTCTGGAGCGAATGAACAACAGCAAGTGCAATTTGGTTCTGGGTTGACGAACGCTGGTAGTTCAGCCGGTGCCAGTAGTTCAAGCAGTAACTTTGGTTCTGGTTCATTCGATAAATCCAGTGCAAAATCTCAGAGTGAATCAAATGCTGTTGGCCGGGGTGGAATTTCTGGAGGAGGTTATGGTAGCTCTAGTCAGCAGTCCTATCAAGATGCTCAGTCAGCCCTCGGCGCTGCTACCGATCTAGCTTCTCAAGGCCAGCAGGCATCTCAATTATCTGGTTGCAGTACGTGTGGAAGAAGCGAATATGCTCAGAGCAACGCTAAGAGCCGCAGTGGTCCAGCAATTGCTGTATCTGTCGGTGGCTAATTACGTAATATTGTTATCTTATAAATTCTATGATTCTTATTTATTCAACTGTTGATAATTAAAGCTATAAAGTGACATTTATCTGTCTTTTAATATTAGTATTTTCAGTTCTCAAATTAGGGATAATTTTAGTTGATATTAGAAACTCAAAACTATTTATTACAATATAAATTGAAGTGAAATCTAAAATAAACTATGTATTAATTTTAGAAGATAATTGTAGTGCAAAGTCATGCACGATAAGAGGTATTCATGGCTTTGTTATTTTCAGGGTCTGGGATATTAAAGTTTCAAATGTGTAGATAAAAGTATAAAGTCTATTTGTTGAAAAAATTATGCGTAAAAAAGAATAGAAAAGGATTTATATTAAAATGTTGATCATCACTGATTACATTAGTAGGTATTAGTCTTAGATTATGTAGTGTATAGATTGGCATCGTTAAAGAGAGAGAATATACTAATCTGTATGTTAGAGCGAGATAGGTAATAGTATAAAAATTTGCACAATATATTGTAACAAAGTTTATGGTATTAATTCTTTACCCTTTACCAATTAGACATAATTTAATTACACTCCTCTGAAATCTTTGGGGCACTGACGCTGAATAAATAATTTAACCGCAGACTTATGTTTGAAATTTGAAATTTGTTCATTGATTATCGAATAACGTAATTTTTATAAGTAAAATGGTTAGTTGATGTCTTGTTTCCTTACCTCCTATTATGTCATCGTAAACCACACGTAAATTAAATAGTACACAGAAATATCTCAAATAAAAATATACATACATAGCCCAATGGGATTTACCTGTCCATGCGGTATTCACACCTGCTGTGTAAGTGTGCCTAATTATTTATCACCCACAAGTGATCTTCTGTAGATAATTTTGTCAACAAGACGTTACTGATTTGATCTGACTACCTATATAAAATGTAGTTGCAAGCAAAAATTTTAGATTACAACGAAAACATGTGGAAACTAGGCGTTATTGTATTGTTAGTAGTTTTATTGATTGATAATTCAGCAGCCAATAATCAAAGTGAGTATATAATAATATATTTGTTTTAAAATGAATCGTTAGTTTTGTAAAAAGAAATAAAATTCCCATATGATAGAGGAAGAATACACAGCTTAGTGCAGGAAATAAGAGGTCACTAACTCTAACTCAAAGTGGAATCCTAAATCAAGGCATACTTAGTTTGCAGTTTTTAGGGGGCTTTACCTTCTTTAGATATATCGCTTCCTAATCTGATTTCTCAGCCAAAATTGTATTTACTTTGCCAACATACGGAAAGAGAGTAATTAACAGTAATTTACAGAGGTGTTCAAAAATTACTGATTTAGGTTCAGCTAACAGTATATTGCATATATCTAAAATCTAATTTAATTTATTAAGGTGCAAATGGCCCTTGAATTGTGTTTCTTTCGAGTTTATACGACACTTTATGTGTTGTGATTCTCGATAGTGTTAGAAACAATAGAATAGCCGAGACTTTCTTATTAAATAATGCAAATTTTTAGCTCATTAGGTAATCAAATGAGGTAACCTTAAGATAACTTATGTCCAGCATTGGATTGTTGCATACAAAAACGTAAATACAAAAATAACAACACACTACTTCTACACAAAGTTTTAATTAGTTCAATTTACATTTTAATTAAAAATTTGATTACAATAGAACAATTTCAGAGTGTCTTTTGTCATTGAAATAAAAAAAGAATAACGAAAGACTCATTATTTTGGCGCCATTTCAGACGAGAATGTAGTGCGACGGTTACGACGGTCACCTTATTATCGCGACTGTCCACCACCGCCATATTGGCCACCGCCACCTCTACCACCGCCACCCTATTGGATGCATCGACCACCGAGACGCTACTGGGAGGAAAGGCAGCACTATAGAGAATCCTATAATGCAGCCAATACAGCATCCAACTCAGGGTCGCAGCCTTACGTGCCATGTGAATCTTGTGGTGGTGGAAATGGTGATTCTGCAGTTAGCAATGCACAAAGTGAAACAGGATCAGCTATTGCTGTCGCCGTTGCCAAACCTAACGCTCACTAAGGCTACTAGTACAGTATTATAATTTGCACTAGTATGTACTATATATAGAAAAAAAAAGATAAATGTAAAATATAGTTATTTTTCTAAGTGTAATTAAATTATATATAAAAATATTGTCTGTATTATTTGAAAAGGCTTTTGTTGAAGACTAAAGGTATAAAACCGTATGAACGGTAACCCCGCCCGCGCTGTCGGTATACATCGGCGTGGCACCAGTGAAGAATGATAGATGAGGATGAAGCAGGTCAGTTAGCCCATCGTGACGAATTCAACAAGAATTGTTCACGATGGTTTCCAGGGGGAACCACGTGGAGGTCGACCTAATAGGGCATATTGCTAGCAATGGGGCTGTCAAACTCCATTGCTAACAATCCCTTTTACCCCCTAAGCGTATGGGCTTACCATTATATAGGGAGGGCTGGTCTTAACCGCTGTGATATTCCCCTACGACGAAAAAAATATTAGGGATGTAATTCAATTCCAGCGCCGAATTTGATATGGTCCTTTACTGATCCTATACCGCCACTCTTAGATCTTGTGCACCTCGTCCTCCAGTCCTTGGAGTCCCTTTTCCTTCACCCAAGAGGCTGGTACTGCACGGAGTTTTTATATTACACAGCCTATTTTTTTTATTTGCGAATTTATATGCTACAGCGGAATAACACCTGAGTCCTCAGGAATGGCAACGCTTGGGGTGTATCATGGGCGAAACAGTATACTCTGTTATGTCTATACTGCTCATATCTATAGGCGACGGTTATCACTTCCCATCAGGTGGGCCGTCAGCATGTTTGCCATTCTAAGTTGCATAAAAAAAATTTTGAAAACAAGCTGATGACCCATGGAAAGTCGCCTGTGCATCTGTACTCTGTAATTTTCTGACTATATCCCATCCTTTAAACAGAGACATAACTGCTTTAATTCTGTGTCAACACTAATTCGCAAATTCCCATTATATAATTCTGAAGTCAGACTGCCTTCCGCTATCCGCATCAGAGGCATCATTATATGTATTGTTACTTCAATAAAGTAATACAAAATTGTTTATAGTACACAGTTATATTTTACAGACCGCATTACGTTATATTATTATTATTTCCTTAAAAAAATAATATCTCAAAACAGCCGACTGGTCATAACACCACGCCCCATATAATCTAAGTTCAAGTTCATTACACTCAAGGTTGTGAATGTTCTAATGCTTGTTAACCACTTGCAAACCTAAAATATATATTGCGATATATTCAGATAAGTTTTTAAAACGGAGATGTTTATTTATTTTTTGATTATTTATTACGTGATATCAGTGGCGTTCATAAAATAATCAGAAGCATTTTTCGATTTAATCTAAGTAAAATACAGTAAAGTTCTATAACAATAGGGGATAGTTAAACAGTACTTTTAAAAGATAGTCATAGTTCATAATAGTCTCTTGGAAAAACCTCAACAAGGAGCTCATTTCACACCCAAAACCTGGACTTCTGAAACCACGTTGTACACGACCATCTATACTCTAGAGTATGTGAGTGAACTTCCTGTCGATGGCGAGCTGTACGATGGTAGAAAGTGGCCATGGGCATCATATTGAACAATTCCTCTGAGCACAATCCGTTGTACAAGCGATAAAACACGCAGAATGAGGCAAAATCTCTCGAGAAATTTCATTCACGAAATAAAACGACATTTGAAGATCGAGTATTTCAATACAAAATTTGTTTACAATGATTAATGTTAATAATATCAAGAGAGATAACGAAATATCACTGGCCACTGGCTAACAGGCTTTATAAAGATTCCGCCCACACAGAGCCTTGTTATCTCTATTATAGGTAAAAATTACATCGCGAATAATTTATACAGCACGTTATTCCAAGGAAATAGGAAACAAAACGAAACACTTCCGTTTATTAATGATGACGGTTAATGATTGTACTCGTATTAAGCGTTTGAATATCGCTCTCGCAATATTCAAATTGTTATTAGTATCAACATAATCTTCCGTGGGGGGAAGGGATTGTTAGTAATGCGGTCTACCAGTCCTATTGCTAGTAATACACTCTGTCAAATTGACCTCCACGTAACCCCCCCCCCCCCCCTTGGAAACCATCGTGCTGAATTACAGGTGTATTCATCACGATGGACTAACTGGCCTATCCTTTCATTCTCACCTTCTCATCCTTTCCAGGTTGTCTGTAAGAGATTGCTTTTAGCGATAAGACCGCCTTTTGTATATGCACATTCTGTATTCCTTGTATACATCTCTATTGTGCGCAATAAAGAGTTTATTATTACTGGTGTCCCGCCAGCGTATACTGTTAGCGCAGACGGGATTTTATTATCATCCATTAAAAAAAAACATAATCTCGGGTGGTCGAGATTGTTAGTATCGAGGATTAATTGCTCATTGCAATATACCTAGTTATCTCCACGCGTTTTCTTTTGGAAATCATCACGGTTAATTATTGATGAAATCACTCGCATCTCACACATCATCATCACACACAATCAATCACAATATCTATCGACTATCATGTCTTTAGTTTATGTGAAAATTTTTGCATAACTTAGAATTCATCATCATATTAATTAATAATCTTTCACTGCTGAACATAAGTTTCCCCCACAAGGGGAGATTTTGCCTGTAGTTGCCAGGCATAGCAAGCAGATTGTCAACTACAGTTAGGACTTGGTGATATCTTAAGAAGGAAGCTGGTGCCTATTCCTCGACTATTAAGTTCCCTTAGTCGTCTTTACGACATCAACTGGAAAGGAAGGGATGATCCATTCTATTCCGGGACCAAATGGCGACTTAGTCTTGCAGATGAGTTATTATGCATTAAAAGTTAAACCAATCTAGACTGTTGGGATGTGATGGAACTAAAGTGATCATTGGATTCATTAAAAAAAAAACTTTCTCTTATTAAATGATATATATTTTAAGCGTCGCAAATACAGGCAACATTCCCTCTATAGGGGTTTTCTGCAGTGAACAGTTAATTATACATATAATATGATATATATATATATATATATATATATATATATATATATATATATATATATATATATATATATATATATATATATATATATATATATATATATATATATATATATATATATATATATATATACATATATTTTCTTAAGTCGAATCGTTTTCAAATCGTGTTTATTTATAAACTACCTTCTTATTATCAGTCTAAAAATAATTTATTTTCAATAGACATTTAAAAAAATTAATGAACTGAATCACAGATATTTATTTAGTCCTAGCAAATATCGATTATAATTCATAAAATTACAGGTATCATACAGGTATCATACTCTACATTTTCTAAAAAATTCTACAGTTAGTCAAAACCTGAGACAGTATTAGATTTATTTGCAAAATAGACAAACAACTATAATTATAACAACGTTAGAATTTTATAAAACTATCCATTATCTAGTTATAAATATTTCAAATCTTAGATCTTCATTTTACCACAGCAATTTATTAGTAGAAGCACCACTTACTCGTTCATCCGCCCATCTGAATTGATTACTGTAATGCTAAAGTGATAAATCATTGCCTAAATTTATAATTAGCATGATAATTATAAAGGCAATAATATCGATCGTTCCCCCAAAACCTGAATATACTTCCGAAATCGCATACTCCAAATGAAGGTATTGTATACAAATTCGCATTGTTTATTTGCACTTCCGTGGGATTTTCACGAATAAAGCCTCAATGTCTCAGCACCTCCGGCGGCGGGGGATGGCCTCGTGTCAAACTATAAAACTGCTTTGGGCCGAAAAAAAATCAGCACACCCAGTAACGGAATATACATCATAACATGTTCAGTTTTCGATTGTTACCGCTCTTTTTTGCGATCGCATCCATAGGATGGAGCCCATCCGTGGCCCAAGGTTGTAATTTTTTATCGATACTCTATAATCTTGGAGAGCTGTCACGATCACACGATGAATTTGCGATATCGACTATATCGGCACCGTTAGATAATTGCGCGTAATGGGACCCTTTGTGTTTTTGAATTTGCAGATGCCGCAGCGGAGAGTGGAGCGGTCAGCGGCACCGTGCGTGTATCACGCGGTCTTGTTAAGCAGAAATTGTGCTACAAGTATGGACTTTGCCAGGGTGGCGGCGTCCAAGGTGGTTATCAAGGGGGCTACGTGCAAGGGGGCTACGTGCAACAAGGCTACCCTGCACAAGTCCCTCCAATAAACATTGCAATTAGTCAATCCCAGTCTTCGGCGAATGAAGCAGGTGGCGGCTACAGTAACGGCTATTATCCTAACAACTACCAATATAATTTCCCCCACGGTTTTCCGTTTAAGGGAGGATACGGTGGATACCAGAAACCGGGTTACTTTAACAACGGTCAAGGGTCGTACAACAGTCAATTCAACGGAAACATCTACGCTCCTGGTGGTCACGGTGGTGGATATGGCTTCCAAGGACCAATAGGTCCTTTCTTTGATGAAAATCCTGACGAAGAAGGCAGCGGCCCGGAACGCAATGACGATAATCCTGTGACTGGTCCACAGGGATATAATAATGATTATAAACAAGGGCAATTAAATAATGGCGCACGAAACTTTGCTGTTGCGGGAAGTTTTGCAGCAGCAGGTGGAAGAAACTAAATAAAATAGCAAATAAATAGAATATCCTTAGTTGCTATGTTCTCCTAGTATCCATATTTCTCGAGATTATTGATAATTCATAAAAGCTAGATTCAATTAAAATTAATTGCAGTTTCTAAAGTTGCAAACTGGCGATATGATATCGCATTAGCATATATGCATAAATTAACTTTCCGCTATATTCCAATACAACCGAATACTGTATTTAGAAAATCCCAAATTCCCGCTATTTACTTAAAACTGCGATAAACACGGGTCATATTTTTATGATACCATTTTATTTCTCAGCGGAAGTCCACATTTAGTTCAATAAATTTTTATTTAGTTTCTAAAAAAACTAAGTCACTTGCACACTTTAAAAGAGCTTTACACAAGATAGAATTAAGTAGATATAAGATCACTTTTGTGTTAAATATATTATTTATTTTATTGTAAAGATTTTCTTTTTTATTATTGTGTTGGACCACTATTAAAAGTGGTAATTATTCGTCACCGGGGACATGAACTATGGAGACCACAGTTTACACTGAAAGATTTGACTGATTGTATGATGAAGGGAAGCGAATGAATTATGGATGTATTATTATACATATACGAGTATAACAGTATACAACGTAATGTAACAGCCTTTTATAATTCTGACCTGAAATGTTAAAATATAAATAAAAAAACATTAAATAATAAAAGACTTATAATCTTTAAACGGAAACAAAACTTCTACAATACCCTTACTACATGGGATTGGGAAAGGGATTGTTGGTAATGGAGACTGAGAATCCCATTGTTAGCAATATACCCAGCCAGGTCGACCTCCTCGCGGTTCCCCCTGGAAACTATCATGGTTAATTCCTGATGAATTTGTCATGATGGGCTAGCTGGCCTGTTTTCATTCTCATCTATCACCCTTCACTGGTGCTCCGCCAGCGTATCCCGTTAGCGCAGGCGGAGTTACCATACCATTTTCATCTATCAAAAAAACCCCTTACTACATATATTACTTTTAAATGCCTCCGTATAATCTGTTATGTTTGAGGTACAGTTCATATCTATGGCTGACGGTAATTACTTTCCATCAGGCGGGCCGTTAGCTTGTTTGCCATTCTGTTGCATAAAAAATAAGCTTAATAAAAATATTACTCCTACGGTATAACATGACGATGGTATAATAATGATAATTAATGATTATGATTTATGACACATAAAATTCTTTTTTATATTTTTATGTGACAACTAGTTGATAAAACAGATGTCATGTCAAAAATGTGTATGTATTGGCAACCAGGAACAGTTTATATGGTAAAAATAAAAATGGGATAATTATATTTTTCTAGGCAGTTCTTACATAATGATCCAGAAGAATCCATAAAGATCCATGCCGAAATGATCCAGCAGTTCTCGAGTTTTGCTGTTAGCGACACATTTAGTAATTATTTTTTATGTATACAGATTGATCAATAGGAACTTAATGACAACGACTTTCATATGAAATCAAAAATTGTCTTGAACGCCTTGCATTTTGCACAGTTAGTTTATTAAATTCCTATCAATAATTTTTTTATAGACATAATACCTAAAACTCAGTCTAATTATGCAAAATACAAGCACCCGGGTAATCAAAATTGTCTTACCCATGACTTTTTCCAAATAAACAAATGTAACTGATTGCAAAATTATACCAATTAAAGATGACACCAATAAATTGAGCTTTAAGGTTGTTTTCACGTCGAAATGTTCTGTTTCCGCAATAAAATTATTTTAGATCATTTATCGTCGGGGTCTACGACCTCAAGTCTTGGAAGCATTAAGACTACATTATCTTAATATATCGTAAATTTTATATTATCACTATGATCATATTTAATTTTGAAATGATTACTCATTAAATTTATCTACGACTTATGTTTAAAAATTTACATGTAACAAATCTAATGGTCATAAATAACATAAATCTATTAAATATATTAGTGCTCCTATAATATTTATTAAAATGTGTAACTAAATACCTGTTTATACAGATGCATTGGAAACTTGAAATGCTGACAGTATAAAGTCGACACTAGCTCAATTACTCTTTCACACAAAAGTTCCTATATAGACACTATTGGCGACCGGCCGATGCAAACTCTTTAGACATTATTATACTTTTTTTATATACATTTACTTTTAGAATGTTCTTATTATTTGTAATTTCAATTTTATATTTTTTGACATATATAATATTGTTCTGTTCCTTGCTTGCTGTTTAATACATTTATTTCGCTATTAAATTCCGTGTCTACATCATTTCATCACCTCATCACAGTCCACCGCTCCGTAATAGACACATAAAGATAAATTAAGATTGTCTTCCGTAAAGAAACCTTTTTCAATAATAGCAAAACCAGTTATTTTAATTTAAACACTAAACTACTGAATCGTTTTTGATAAGATTTCTATACGACTAATCTGTATGTATAACCTTTCAGATAAAAAAATAATTTTCCAAATTAGTTTACAACTGACGGAGTTATGAGATAAAAAAAACACGACCGAATTGAGAACCTGCTTCTTTTTGAAGTCGGTTAAAAAGGTTATCAAACACGAAATGTTTACTTGTTGATTAAGTAAATTTATGAAATCAATAGATAGATAGATAGATAATTTATTTGCATTACTTACTTACAGCACACAAATTACAACATACATATACAAAAAAAGCGAGATAACATAAATGATAAAAAAAAAATACATAAAGCTAAATACAATTTTTCGTTTGTGCGTGTGCCATAGCAATACAAAATGGTCACAACTCAGTTTATTGCCTCGCCCTCAAAAGAGCAAAGCACTGATATTCTGTTGCGGCCAAAGGGAATAGGGTAACAATAAAACAATACTACCAGATTATCCATACAGTAAATAGACAGATATACTCGTAACAGACAGATATAATAGTTTATCTAGCAGACAAATGGAACATAGAGGTAACATTCTGTTCATCTTAATAGATGTTACAGCTTTCTTTTAGCTTCTCAAAGGTTGACTGTAATAGATCCCTTTATGTGATAAGTTCGCCATTGTATACTAAGTCTTTGGACGTATTTCGTATAAATTATGTACAATAAAGATTATACAATACAATACTTGTATTGTATTATATAATTTTTATTTTTGATAATAAAATATTGACAAGTATATACTATATTTGTTTAGTTGAAAATTGCACATTTATTTTGATCCTTATATTAAGTACCCACCAACTATATTCGCTTGCAACATCAGACGCGTCCCTCATGCGCTACCGATGATTATAACATGAAATTTGGAGTTACAGCGATCATCATCATATCATATTTTAAGTGTCCACTGCTAAACATAAACCTCCCCTTGGAGGGTTTTGCCAGTAGTTGCTATGTTTAGCAGGCGGATTGGCAACCGCAGTTTTTTTTTTTAATGAGTGATAATGGAATTGTAACCCCACCCGCGCTATCGGTATACACCGGCGGGGCACCAGTGAGGGATGATGGGTGAGGATGAAGTAGGTCAGTTAGCCAATCGTGACGCATTCAACAAGAATTGTTCACGATGGTTTCCAGGGGGATCCACGTGGAGGTCGATCTAATAGGGCATATTGCTAGCAATGTCGAACTCCATTGCTAACAATCCCTTTCCCCCCTGGCAACCGCAGTTAGGCTTTAGAGATGTTTTAAGAGGGATGCTGCTGCTTATCCCTCACCTCTTAGTCGTCTTTTACGACACTCACGGGAAAGAAAGCTGGCCTAGTCTATGCCGGACCACACGGCCTTGAGTTACAGTGCTGAAGTAAATACTACAATATTATATTCGATTGTCATCTTGCAGCCCTATTGCAGCATATAAAAATCGCGATTAAAAAACAGGAGTTGATCGTAAAACGGTGAAAATTTCAGATTGTATATATTTTTCAATGCTAAATCATAATAAAATAAAAATGGAAAAATTTGTAAAAAAATTAAAAAAAAAATTTTTGGGGAGGGTTACCCTTATCATTGAGGGGTATGAAAAATAGATGTTGGCCGATTCTCAGACCTACTCAATATGCACACAAAATTTCATAAAAATCAGTAAAGCCGTTTCGGAGGAGTTTGGTAACAAACACCGAGACACGAGAATTTTATATATAAGAAATACCAAAGATTGCATCATCCAAAGGGTTAAAACTGTAAATGAACTTATAAATAAATACCAAGAACTTTTAGATTTTTTGTATTCACGCTTTATAACGTAATATAAGCTTCATTACTTCTGTGCCGATTATGATAGTTCTTTTTGAAATCAACAAGGATCATTTTTCATAATGATTTTTTTAGGACACTGCGTTTATTTGTGACTCGCTAAATAAGTTTAATTTTCGATGAAATATTCTTTCTTTATTCTTTATATGTACACAAAAGGTTATTGAAATAGAAAAAAAACAAACATAAAAGTGCACAAAGGCGAGCTTATCACCAAAAGAGATTTCTTCCAGCAAACCCAATATGAGAAAAACTGACAGTTTATTAGTAGTTACTGTCATACATGTGTACCAATCGACTTAGATGTTATACTTAAAAATATATAAATAAAATTTCCATACAGTTGAAAACATCTATAGGTATAAATAAATGAATAAAAAAATATATAAGTAAATATATATGAATAGATACACAAATATAATAAGTACGTACATCGGCGTTCTGAGTGATAATAATTCTTTAGACGCGACTTGAAAATCCCAACGCTTGGGCTATTTCTAAATAAGCATCTTCAGTTTTCTAACTTCAATAATAATAAATTAATATAACAAATTTAATTAATCTAGCATACGTATTGAATGGACAGCGAACGGATCCATTTATTGGCTAATAGACACATAACTAAAGTTTTATTGTTTTATTGACTACTTGTATGCCCGTTCTCGATTCTAAACAACATTAACATGATAATGTATAACTTATTTAAATTTATAAAAGGAACGATCGATAAATCTATTATCAATTTATGGTACATATTAGCAAATCGACTAAAATACGTCTTAATCTAGCTTTTCATCCAATTCATTTGCAAATTCTTGTAAAATGTGACAGTTTCAATAATTGATTCTTGGTTCTCAATTTTATGGGTATATAACTACTTGTAACTAGCAATTTATAATACCTACCCTATCTTCTGGACCATCAAATTAGTTTACCGTTTCAAGATAATTTTTATTTATAGCTTATTGGTATCATAGTGGTGACCTAGTCAGGTACCGAGTGGGGGCTATCATCATACTAGTATATAAGCACGGAGAAATGTTTCACAGACATCCATAACCATTGGCGAAAGGTGTAAGGTGTTCCTAGAATAATATCGAAATAAATAAAACACAATAATGGCGTATAAATTCATAATTTTGATGGTAGCCGTTGCAGTTTCCCAAGCCGTGCCAATTTGGATCACTGGTAAGTGAGCTCTATCCAAAATGTAATAACAACAATTTGTAATCAACCTTAGCAAATTTATTGAAATAAATTCACACCAAGGATTGTTTTTTACTAATGAAACTGAAAAAAATTCTCAATAAAAGCTTGAAAAACGTCAATATATTTTGAGTCTTACTAACTTGACAGCTAAAGACGCCATGTTAGCCAGAACCTTTTTGTTATGTATAAAACATTTTTTGTGATTTATATTTGGAATTGAATATTCTAAATATTAACCACTTGTGGAATGTAAAGTCTGTTTAAATATTCTACGTCTGCTTTAGAGTATTAAAAATGATTGCATTATAGTATTATAATGAGCAAGTCACCCAGTTAGTAAACATATATTACGACTAAGAATTTAAAAGTAATTTTATTAAATTGTTGACATTGTATTATTGATTTCAGGTAACGAATATTTCCCCTCTACTATTCTGCGTATCGGACGTTCCCCAAACGTTGCGTTTGGCTTTGGCAGCGGCTTTAGCAGTAATATTGGCGGTATCGCCCACTCCTCCGGCATTGGATCCTCATTTTCAACCGGCGAGGGCCAAGCCTACGGGGCTGGTATTAGTGGTACAGGTGACAGCACCTACGCACGCGGAGTAGGCATCGCAAACGCCGCCCCCTCATCCTATTCTCGCAGCTACAATCCCTATAATTTTGGCGGATCTTTCGGCTCCGCGGTGTCTTCAGCCCAAAACTACGGAGGAAACTATGGCTCGGCTGTTTCCGCTGCTCAGTCACAGAACGGACTTCAATACGGATCAGCTGTATCTGCCACTCGGAATGTTGGTCCCGCTCGCTACCAGTCCGCCATATCCTCTGCACAAAACATCCAAAATCTCGGCTACGAATCCTCTGTAGCGGCTGCTAACAGCAACGGATATGGCCAAGCAATATCTGCTGCTCAGAATGCCAACAATTATGGTTCAGCTCTCTCATCGGCTCAATCTCGCAATGGTTTAAGCAACTACGGAGCTGCAGTCTCCGCTGCACAGAATATTGGTGGATATAGAGCCAGCACTGCTCAATCGGTTCAACAAAATGGCGGTGCTCTTCAGCAAAGCGGTGCTACTAGCATTAACGCACCTGGTATTCAGGCAGCACAATCGCATGCTGTGAATAACGGTTACTATTAAGTTTTAATTATATATTTATTAAGTGATAGTCATTTTAAATTGTACCTTTAATATAACGATGTTGAGATGACTAGTTAAATTTATCTCACTGTCTTTATATTACTTAAATGTTGCAATTGGTAAAAATACATGTTGGGTTGATCAATAAAAGACTGCTGCAAAATGTATTACGTTTATTTTATAATATTATTCATATAAAACAATAATAACCTAATATTAACATAATCTATTTGATACCTTTGTTATCGAAAGTAACAGTTTTTATATTACCATACACACGACCATTATCGCTTATGGCTGCCACAGCCTTGATTTCTCCAGTGCCGCCAAGATTAGGTTCAATAAAACTCTCTACACCTTTTAACCTGTCATTATTTAAAGACCCAAAGTCACCGAGTCCAATACCCTCAAAGTTCAATGGCATGAAGAACAAAGGTAATAAGAAAGGATTGAACGATGATGTAGATACAAAACTCCGACCCGTGCCAGTCTCTGACTGCTGACCTAAGGATCCAACAGTAACACTTTTTTGTCCAATATCTTCAACACTTGACGTTACAATACTATCTTGATTAGTGCCGAGTTCAGATGAGAATCCAAACCTCAGAAACTTTTCAACTTCGGGGTCACTAGACGAGATAGCGATGATTGCATCTCCAGAGGGCGATGATCCTGAAATCAATTTAACTGTTATAATCTCAACTATGCATTCAATTTAAGTTATTTTGATACAATAACTACCTGATGTTTGTAATTGTATAAAATTTAAGTACCTTTTATAACGATTGGATTTGCTGATGTTATATAAAACGTTAAAGTAAATAAAAAAAATACTTCCAAAAAACTATTCATGTTAAAAAACAACTTATTTAAATATCCCAGTTATAAAATTCCTCGACCTCTTTGACAGTATTGTTAGAAATGAGTCCGTAAATTTAATACGTCGGTTTATATAGGTTGCTGCGCAGTTCGCAGTTCGTTTATAATTCCTGTAATCAAATAGCATATAGATGGGATCAGTGAACTGATGTGTACACACCATCGTTGAAGTCTTCATTATAAAAAACGTACATACTGTTAGGAACAATTTACTAAAGTTGCTGTACTGATTGACAGGTAGCTCAGACGTTACGAAACGAGAATTTTTATATTGTTATCAATCCGTGTGCTACAATCAATTAATATTCTCATGCTAAATTTTAACAGTTTTTCATCGATTCGTATTTTACTATTAATAACTCTGTTATGAGGATCTATACAATATTATTATAAGAACATAAATATATCAATTTAGAAACAAAATTCATTAGGTATTCAAAATGTGTATAAATGAAATATGAAGACGGAGTCATACTCGTAAATGCTAGTTTAATTAATTCTTCAATTTTTTTTTAGTCGATAAAAACATACAACCAGCTAATGCAAAGCGTCTTTATAAAATAAAATCAAATTATCCATTTTTCACATTGTATAATGACTCTGTCTTATATTTAGGGTTCCGTGCGTCAACAGACCCCTTTACAATTACCAATATTCTTTATAAACAGAGAAGTTACAGAAAACAGACACAAATAAGCTTTTGAAAATAAAATCGTATTTTTCATTCCAACCTATTAATGTTGAACATGGATTTTGTTCAGCAGTGAATATGGGTAAGCCGCTACTTCTTTACAAGTTGCTATAATGAATGATTCTTAACCACTTGTATCTTTTGACACTCGATGACATATTTGACATCGTCATCCCATCCACTGGGGAATCGTCTATACAACGTTTGCCTGTACACAAGGGTTACTCGAAAATTCTTCTTCATCAGCGGTTGTTGCTTCTTCGAATTATGTGAGCGGCCACTGTCATTTAATTTAACGATTCTCTTTATTCTAATTGGCTATATCAGGCACTATGGTTATTCCACGAATCTTTATTTCGGGTCCACCATGCAATGAAACCACAGATAAAATAACAGTTTTAGGTGAACTCTAAACGGTAGTCTTTCGAAGCTCGCTGAATGATTTAGAAATGTTGGGCTTGAATGTTTTTTTATGTTTTACTAATTCTACCACGAAGAGATGCTCACTTCAATAAGGATAAAGTATATCATGAAAATCTGTTTATTTGACCAAATATTTTTTATACAACTTAGAATGACAAACAAACTGACGGCCCACCTGATGGAAAGTGATAACCGTCGCCTATAGACATGAGCAGTAACATGGACATAACAAAGTATAATATTTCGCCCATGATACTCTCCATGCGTTGCTATTCCTGAGGACAGAGGATTAACATCTGAATGTTATTCCTCTGTACTCTGTAAATTCACACCATATCCCACCCTTTAAACCGAAACACAGGTATGCAAACACAACCACTTCACGGTAGAAACACGAATGGGACAGAGGTACCCAAGCAATCGACTTTTGTACATAGTCTCCCTCTGGTGAAAAATCCGATTAATAACAAACATCCAAGTATCTTTACAATAATTCTTAACTATACTTTTATATTATTATTAGTCGTATGGTCCAGGCATAGAATAGGCCACCCCTTCCTATCCCGTGGATGTCGTAAGAGCCGACTAAGGGAAGGCGAGAGATGGGCAGCAGCGTTCCTCTTAAAACACCTCTAAAGCCTGACTGCGGTTGCCAATCCACCTGATAGGCGTGGCAACTACTAGCAAAACCCTCCAAGGGGGAGGCTTATGTTCAGCAGTGGACAGTTAAAGGCTGATATGATGACGATGATAATGATATGATGAAACTTTTATATTATAATATTAGTACATTTTTATTTGCTAAAAAATAAATATAAACATTTTTTTTATTTTATTTTTTATTATTTTAAAATATTACAAAAGCACTATCATTACAGACATTAATGTCTGAGCCTGCATTGTTGTCACATTCTTTTCGTGTTATTTTTTTGGGCGTTTGGGATTTGAATCTTCATCATCAATCATTTGAATCTTTCATTCAAGACATTAACACTTCGACTTTCCTCTACGTATAAATAGCACAAAATACTAAAGTCACAAACCTAGGTCATTGTTTCGGATTCCGGTTTGCATCCGCAATTGCAGTTTTAGGTATGTCAAATTCCTTTCATGGGTTGGATGGATAAAAAGAATTCACACCATTCTTTTTTTAAAATTCATTGTATTATATAAAAAAGTAGGCAGTCGCTACTTTTTAAAAAAAAATTATTATAACCAAATGTAACCTGTGACTTTACTCAATGAATTATAGTTAAAAGTATTCTATTAATTTAGAATACTATCTTTCTGTATTTTTAATAAAACTGTCTAATTCAATTCGATTTATTTATTGCATTCTACAATATTATTTTGAAAGATCTTAATAATTAATCAAGTATATTGTAGACCCTGTCGGGCACAGCAATTAGAAACGAGGAGGGCGTCTTTTTTGAAAATTTGTAAAGATTTCAATAATTTTTATTTAAAAAATAAAATCTAATGTTTAGTTTTATTAATTTGATTTATAAGTTTATTTACTTTCACTTCAATTCTTTAAATAACAAATATCCAAACATTTTTACAAACTTACAGAGTAGTATTGTTAGGATTCTGGACTTTATTTATTAAATGCATCCTTGAAAGATTCAAATATTTTTATAAACAAATATAAGATTAATTATTTTTCTAATAATATAATTAAATTATAACTAGACGATGTACATAGGATCTCCATGTACAGACAATTGAAGAATAATGTATATGAGCAGTCTTAATAGCAATGGAATCCAAACAATAATTTTTATAAATGTCTTTTGTCTATCTGTCTATCTATATATTTGTTCCGACACGCACAATAGCTACTGCACCAAATCCGATGTGGTTTACATAGTCGCATTCGTGATGATCTAATAATAATAATAATATATTAAATGAAGTGTATGTTTTATGACCTCATCAAAAAGACCACACAGCAGTCTATTGTGGAATGCTCTTGCTCGGCTGTGAGCAGAAGTAGATGGAGACGCATTGCGAGGACCTCAATCGTGAAGAAGGGCCTCATCGACGATCCACTATCGTCATAAAAACCACGACCACTCTGTCAAGAGTGCACGACTGAAGAGAGAATGTTTTATTTTAAAACATAATAATAAATTATACTTTATGATAATAAATAATCATTAACTTTCATTAATACTTTTATTTCTGGAATCCACACATAAAGTTGCGAAGTTCACGAAGTTGCGGAGAAAAAAGCTGGTATTAAATAAAAAAAAAACTAATCGTTTAATCATGATAAAATTAATTTAAGATCAAAAACAATATCGTGCATATAAAAGAATAAAAGTCAGAAACCTTTTATTCTTTTTGGAGTCGTTTAAATAAAAAAAAATCGTTAAAAATAATCCGTGTACGATTATAATTCATTCATAACCTCAAATAATATTTATTTAATTGCTAGTTAGAGTTTCCTTTGATTTATGTGACGTAGAATAATAGACTTTATATTAATAACTATTTAGACACAGGTCGTATCACAGAACTAGTCAACTGTAAGTCGAGCTCGTATATCGTTTCAAGCATACATCTAGTACATAAGATACAAAATTTCGTTAATCTAATAATCTTGCAATTATAAATACTGCTCCCATTCACCGGGACCATACGGCATAATTCTATGCGATGTGGTCTCAGCACAGAGTAGGCCACCCCTTCTTTTCCCGTGGGTATCGTAGGAGGCGACTACGGAAACTTAATAGTCGAGAGATGGGCAGTATCGTTCCTTTAGAACAGCGTTCCCATACTTATTTTGTCACTTTCATAATTTTGTCCACTTTGAGAATAAATTATTTTTTAGCGTCCCCATTTTTTCACCTATTTAAAAACCACTATTACTTCAAGATCAACAAATCACCCGCCAAGCCTCTACACAACGCTTTAATTTTATTTCTGGGTCACTTACCGCCCCCTTTAGGCCTGCAGCGCCCACAAGGAGGCGTTATCGCCCACTTTACGAAAGGCTGCTTTAGAACATCATCATATAAAAACCTATGGTCGCTAATTCGCCTGCCAAGCGTGGTTGATAAAACTTTTCAAAAGTCAAAACCTCATGGACATCCCTCATAAGCACGATGAGCTAACTGACCTACCTTTTCATTCTCATCCCTCACAAGTCCCGCCAGTGTATACCTTTAACACTGGCGCGGTTAACTTGTGATTATCACCCATATAAAAAAAGTACTCACGTGCTAATTTAAGTATGCGACTTATGGCAAGCATCCTATCTAGTGCATAAGATCTAGTCGCACTTTTTTGTAAGTGATAATGGAATGATAATCCGACCTTGACTATCGGTGTACACTGATGGTAAGGTAAGTATGAAGTTAAGTCAATTTATTTATAGCACAAAAGTAGCAAAAAAGCATACAGCCCAGCCCAGTAAACGGTCACTGTAGCTTATGGACGACTGCAACAATAGGTATGTCACGTGCACGTGAAGAAATCTTAATACACCCTTTTTGAAGAAGCCCATACTGTAGTCTCCAGAGAACACCTGGGTTGACTTATCGTTAAAATTTTACAAGGTTTTTATTTTGACGGCTATCAGAAAAACTGTGTGAAGATAGATCCGACAGCTTGTATATAAGTATATGTAGTAATGTATAATATATATATATATTATATAAGCGGGGGGAAAGGTATTGTTAGTAATGAGGATCTGACAACCCCATTGCTAGCAATATACCCTATCAGGTCGACCTCCGCGCGGTTTCCCATGGAAACCATCTTGGTTAATTCTTTTTAAATTCGTCACGATGGGCCAACTCACCTGCTTTCATCTTCATCTATCATCACTTACAGGTACCCCGCCAGCGTATAGCGATAGCGTAGACAGGGTTACTATTCCTTTTTCATCCCATGAACAAAACTATACCAACCCTTTAACACCTCGCTAATAGGTACATGACTCTTCTCTTTAGCTACGCTGACGATTGGGTATAAAATTGTTTATTTCGAGTTTTCCCCCACTTACACTAGTGTATGAACCTTTGTTATCTTACGGCATTCCGGAGATCATAGGCGTATCCAAATGGAAGCCGGGTGGATCATGCTTACCCTAGAATTACCTAATGCCCACCACAGGAATCGAACGGAGCTTTCAGCTATGCGCAAAAACATATTTGAGAGTATATATGACCTTTTTAAAGTGCCGTCACACCTGCCCTCCTACCTGGAAAATTATCTTAAATGTTGTATTTCTGGAGATAAAAATAACACTTTACTATCTGTCCTCTACTCAAAGGTTGAAAGGGATTGCTTTAGCAATATGACAGCCTTTTGTATTTCATATGTGTATATTTGTATTATTATTTAAATGGTGCAATAAAAAGTAAATAAACAATACATTGTATAATTAATCTATCACCACACGGAATATTATACTAATATTAGCAGCATTTAATTCCAATTATTAGCTAATAAAATACAAGAACATGTTATAAAATCGTATAAAATCTCCATAGCAACCTCAAGAATGTACTCTAATAAAGTGAGATAAATTTCTTACACTATAACTGTTCCTACCGCGATATCCGACTTTGATGATAAAACCAATAAAAATTTGCATTAGTAATATGCTAAAATAGTATCTCTTTATGGGTATTGGTAGCATTTTTTTTAGACGTTGAAGTGACCCGATCAGGGAACGAGTGGGGGGACCCGTGTTTTGGATATATAAAGTTTGAGAGATGACCACGGGCTATCGTATAGCAATATTAGCATAGGTGGTGATCTCATCAAAATTCGAGACTTGATAGGGCAACAATGTTCACCAAATTCACAGTTCTCTTGGCAAGCCTCGCGCTATCCAGCTGCGTGCCCATACAAATATTTTGTAAGTTTTTGCTGTAATTGTACGTATTTATTAATTATGATGAACTTTACTAATTAATTCCTGTTTTTATACACTTACGTGTGTATAAACTCTTTCACTGCCTCTTCAGGAATAACATATATTGTAGAATATAATATAGGCGTAAAAATATGGTTTTAGAAATATTATTTAAATATGAACATCATATTTTAATAATTAAATATTAAATAAAGAGTTTAATTACGAGAATAAAAATAATCGGATTGATTTACATATATTCTAGTCCAGAAATCTTGACTAATGATTAAGAGTCCCGAATAGTATTGAAACTCGAGCATTGCCAACACAATATACGTAAATCAATCTAGTTAGTATTACAGTTAAAATACGAAGTGTATTTACAAAATGTTTAACAATAATTACTTCTTGTATGCTTGAAAAACAATTTAAAGCGAATGAGATTTAAACCCGCAATTTCTATGCTATACCGCATGCATTTTTTATATTAATTACAGGATGATTTATCATAAAAAAAAATAATTTTAGAATAATTTAACATACTATTTGTATTGAATTATCCCATATGAAAGTAAATATTTCACAGTGTGAAAAGTAATACATTTGATACTTTGGTATTCGTTACATTACATTTAAATTGTAAATTTATTTATATATTAAGTGTCACTATATTCTAGCCAGTGGTAACCGCGTGATAGATCGAGAGATTCTCGTATTACCAATATCTAATATATTTTTTTTTATTATATTAGATTTTTGTACAAGACCTTATTTTTTATAAATCTAACAAACAGTTATTATGATGTTTTTACTAATGATGCCATTTCTCAATTACGTCAGTATTTTATTTCTAGTTCTGCTAACAACGTTTTCTGATACCCATCAAACAATTTTATTTGAATTATTTTGTGTACATAACATACTATTTTCGTTTACAGCTAATGGGGTCGCTGTATCCAGCGGAGGAGTTCCTCTGAGACAACCTATTGGACCGACGGTCACTCCTGCTACGTATCAACCAATCAACCAGCAAGTTTCTCCTACCATAACACCCATCAAATCGGTCATCAACTCTCCCATATATAGTACACCAAGCATAGCTTTTGGCTTCGGAAGCGGTTTCAGCAGCGACATCGCTGGAATAAGGCACTCCACTAGTATAGGCTCGTCGTTTTCGACTGGCGATGCTCGTGCCTACGGCTCTGGAATTGGGGGTACTGGGGAGACATACGCGTCAGGAATCGGCGTAGCAGACGCATCGCCCTCTGGTTCTTACCTACCACCTCTTCAGTCCTCGCAGCAGCGCTACGATAGCTATGGAAACCCAGTACCTGATTACGACAACAACTATATCTCTAATGAACAAGAGCAGAATACTATTACTTACTATCCCTCGCAAAGAAACGAATGGTCACAGAACTACGGAAATGGTTATGCACCGTCCGACTCAGCACAAAATAATGAACAATTCCAGGCAGCGGTCTCTGCCACTCAAAACGCTGGCGATCTCCAATCGTCCACGTCATTGGCTCAAAACCAACAAGGACAAGGCTATCAGACAGCGGTATCCTCAACACAGAACGGGAATAATTTTAGATCTGCAATCTCGAATGCTCAGTCCAGCGATGGGTACTCTAACTTTGGTTCCGCGACCACAGCAACACAGAACATCGGCACATTGAATGCTAGCACCGCTCAAGCTATTCAGCGGAATGGCGGTGCTCTCCAGCAAAGTGGTGCGACCATCATCAGTGGACCCGGAATACAAGCGGCTCAAGCTCACGCTATAAATACTGGATATTATCGTTATTAAAACATAAGTGATGTTGAAAGATTAGTGCAACAATATTATGAGGTGTTGATGTTGAGGTGACGTTGATGACTGTTTTAGTATAACGTACTATATTTGATAAATGATAAAGCGCGTACTGACCACGAATGAGAATTAAATAGAGTCCTTGAAGAGCTAACCTCGTATGTCTTATGTGAAAAACTAACTATATAGACTGAGTTGAGGCTACGATCTGGGAAAAGGCAATCTATATATACGTTCTTGTCTGAATATCTTACTTTCTAATATGTATAGATATATGTATTTCTTAGTAAACTGTGTAACATTGAAAAAAAAAATTAAGAAATATTTATTTCGTAACAAAATTGATACAATACAAATCATAGTACCTTAAAATTAAGACATAAACATTATCTAGTAATAAGTATATCTAAATGCATGCATGCGTGCAACATTATCAAACATATGTTACCACTGGAAACGGCAGAAATCTCGCCTCATTGTCGTAATTATTATTTAATTAATTTATTATTTAAATGTAAATAGGTATAATTTAAATAAAAGACTGTTGATTAAAATGTAAACATTTTATTTAAATCATTAACACTAAATTAAAATAAGAAATTTTATATTAATAGAGTTTTCAATTTACTGAAGAGACTTCTTAGAAGAGAGAAATGTTAAAAAATTAATATATTTCTATTTTTAATCGTTTAAAAGCGCTTCCTTTACAATAAAAAGCATATTAATTTATTATTAATTTTAGTTATAATGTTTCCACTCCACAAATCTTCTGTTTTTACGTCTTGGTAGAATACTTATGAAGTAAATAACAACATAAAGCAATGGATAAACATAAAGCCACAACAACATTTAAATAATAGAAATAAAAGAATAAATATTATTTATTAATAAATACTATATTTCTTACCTTCAAATAAATTATAAGTTAATTATAAATACAGAATATTCCTAAATATCCATCGTCTTTATTATAATAGATTAATTGCCTTGATACAGTTAATAACTAGATCAGATCACTTTACGTTTAGATATAGAAATAATAAATACTATAAACTTAAAGTAATAAAGAATATAATTTCGGGTCGTTGAACGATATAGTAGATACCTAGCCAGTGTATTATGTTGCATCATCGAAGATCATTAACCTTTGGTCCTTGTACTATTATAAAACTGTAAATGCAAGATGACTGTTCATCAAATGTATAGTGAGTAATTATTGCTAGTTTTTTTTATTGTGTAAAAATGAAATGCTATAATGCGGGGTGCTTGCACTATCGATGTATGCTGACAGGGCACATGTAACTTACAGGCTTTTTACAGGCTTACAGGCTGTAAGGAGTAATAAATGAGGAATGATAGATGAAAGTAGGTCAGTCCGTCCATTGTAATTAATTGCACAAAAAATACCACGATGGTTTCCAGGGGGAACCGCGTGAAGGTCGACCTGATAGGGTATATTGTTAACAATGAAGCTATTAAGATCTATTACTAACAATCCCTTTCCCCGACAGTGTTACTAGCTGATACGGTATACGTTATCTTACCTCCACCGCCATCTATCGGGTATAAATTTTTTATTGCTGTTTCGAATTAAAAATTACACACTGGCCACATATTGCACGGATATATTCGATTTTTTTTTTCTATTTATTAAATGGCTGTAAATCTATATAAATAAAAGTTAATTGTTTGTTGGTAAACACATCATTTGAAAACAACTTGGACTAATTTGGCTAATTGTTTACAATAATTTAATAAAAATTTTGAGAACAGCGTCGGTTAAATCAGCTAGTTTATATATATATATATATATATATATATATATATATATATATATATATATATATATATATATATATATAAAATACCTAACTATAACGATTTTAATTTATTCACTCAAGTAATTTATAACTATTTGATCTTAATCGTTAAGCTGTCAATACCCTTTGTTTTGAACATCACACATAGTAATATAAATCTAAAAACACTTCAAGATCCTGGGATACAAAAAATATTCTTCATCTCGAATAACGCTAAATTAATTTGTCAGTGCGCATCTCATCGTTGGCATGAAGTACCTTTCAAGTGAGCAAAAAAGCTTATGAAAAATTACTTATAGATTCAGTTATCGTTATATTATTTTGGATGCCTAGCCAGATTATAGTGGGGGGAGTTACATTTCTAGTATATAAGTCAGGAGAAATGCTTCCGAGGTATCCACAAGCATTAACAAAGGATCAGATTAACTACTGAGACTTTACAAGACCACAATGGCAATCAAATTTACGATCCTTCTTACAACTTTTGCGCTCTCCCAAGCGGTGCCTATACAGATTTTCGGTAAGTCGTAAACAGTTATTAAGATCCTTTTTTTGTTTTAAAAAGATCAATAAACCATAACGGATAACCATCATGCGAATGATTTATATACTTAGGTTTCTAAAAGTAATTTAAATTTAAGTTTAATGAACTTATTAATTTAGAGACAACAGTTAGATACCACATCATGGGCTTAGGAAAAAGGTTTGAACGTATTTCTTTCATTGATAGTCCTTCCAAAAAGGGTTTCCATGTCGTTTAGCAATACGCAGAGTATTTCTTTGATTCTAGGCGTTGTTTGTAATATTTACTGTAATTACAATCAAATTATTGAGATCACTTTTAAAGTTAAACTCTTAAAGTTTGAAAAAAGCTACATGACATACAGTGTTTGTGGCTATAAGTATGTTTTACATTTCTATTCTTTTACAGCTGATGGCGTTGCAGTATCCAGCGGTGGCCTGCCTCAAAGACCAATTGTCAGTCCTCCCATTCCACAACCAAACGTGGCCTTTGGTTTCGGCAGCGGCTTCAGCAGCGACATCGCCGGCGTTAGGCATTCTACTGGCATTAGCTCTTCGTTCTCAACTGGCGACTCCCAAGCGTACGGCTCTGGTGTAGGAAGTACTGGCAACACATACGCAAAAGGGGCAAGCCTCACAAACGGAGCACCTTCCACCTACTATGTTCGTCCAGCCGGAAGACAATACAATATCCATGCAGAGAATCCACAATATACCGCCTCGGCCGCTTCCGCTGCCCAAGTTCAAGGGCAGAATGACGGCTGGGTTCAGAACTACAGGCCAGTTAATCAATACCAGTCAGCTGTGTCCTCTGCACAAAACAGCAACCAACAGCAGTCGGCCGTATCAGCGGCGCAGAACCAACAAGGGCTTGGATACCAATCAGCGGTCTCTGCCGCTCATAACGGCAGGAACTACGGCTCCGCTGTCTCAAACGCTCAATCGCATAATGGTTACTCGAACTTTGGATCAGCGATATCGGCCGCTCAGAATATCGGCGGGCTAAAAGCTAGTACAGCACAAGCTGTGCAGCATCACGGCGCTGGTGTGCAGCACAGCGGAGCCAGCAGCCTCAACGCGCCCGGCATCCAATCTGCGCAGTCGCACGCCATCAACACTGGATATTATTAATGCTTGTAAACAAATAGTGCTAGTAAACGGTCATATGTGTCCTAAATTATTTATTTAAGAACTCGATTATTTAATATTAAATGTTTAAGTAACAATACTTGTTTTATGTTTTCGAATCCTTGTTATGTTAGTTGTAAAAAAATATTATTTGACCATAACATTGGAGAATTGTAATTGTTAAATTTAAACAATACCTAAACTTGAGAGAGATCTGACTACTTTTTACCAGAGGGAGATATTGTATAAAAGTCGTTTGCTTAGGTACCTTTGCCACGTTCGTGTTTCAACCGTGAAGTAGTTGTGTTTGTACGGCTGTGTTTCAGTTTGAAGGGTAGGATATGGCAGTGAATTTACCGGGTACAGAGGAATAACATCTGAGTCCTTACGAATGTCATGGAGTGTATCATGGGAGAAACAATATACTGTGTTACGTCCATATATATAATTTATAATATAACATTTTATTTTCTGTGCAACTTAAAGTCCATATATATTAACTTTTTTAAGACAGAAGGTTTTCTATACAATTATTGATTCCTAATATTCCTAAACATAAATGTGAAAATTTGTAAAATAATTTAGAAGCTCGGGTGTTTGTAATTACGTTTAAACGGCTGAACAGATATAAATTGCATGAAATAGACAGTCTTGCCAAATATAAAATGTGCTTTCAATCCTAATTAATGCGACAAAAAACTCACAATATACGGCTTTTTTTTATTGGTGATAATGGAATGGTAAATCCACCCGCACTAACGGTATACACTGGAGGGGTACCAGTGAAAGATGATAGGTGAGGATGAATAGACAGATCTTGATGAATTCACCTGGAACTTACTACGATGGTTTCCAGGGGGCCGCGAGGAGGTCGACCTTGCAGGCTATGTTGTTAGCAATGAAACTGACTAACTATTTATTAACAATCCCGTATAGTCGTATTAATATTATTATTAAATTGTAAAGTTATAGGTTGTATATTGCGTTCGTAATCAAGCTTAAATGGCTGTAAGGGTTACAATAAAATTTTAATACACGAATAGAGCATATTTTAAATAATTCGACACTTTTTTCTAATTCACGAACGTAATACTTTTTATACCTTGCAGAACATAAGGACTCAACGGGGCACACTTTGAACAGCTATACTAACCCATTTGATACTTTAACTAATGTTTTTGTATAATATAAATATGAAATAACAGCAAAAATATAGAAGTAATAGTTATTACCCAAGATTACGCCCACAGACCGGGATATATTGATTTACCGGGATCAGAATAGTAAATTTTCTCCATTTATATTTAAGACGCCAAAATGTAGCAGAGAATCAAATTTATTTTCCTTTTGATATCTCGTATTGCATTCATAAATTCATAAATCATTCATAAATACAGAAATAATTATAATTATAAAAAAAGTGGACAAAGGTAAATTTATCTCTTAATGAGAACTCTTTCGGTCAATTTAACACAATGGAATTATTAAAATAAAAACTCGAGATTAAATAAAAACTTTATTTCATCGCATGCCATATCAAAATAAAATAATAGGTATTGTTATAAAATTGTTAGTTACTTTTAGGTCTATTAAATGTTATGGTTTTCACATTACGATAAACATGGCCATTGTTGTTTATTGCTGAGACTGTCTTGATTTCACCGTTGCCACCAAACCGCGAATCTGGGAATCGGTTGACACCCCTAAACCAGTTATTCAATTGCCCAAATTCACCAAGTCCCAGTCCTTCTAAATTCAATGGAGCGAAAAGCAGGGGTGACACAAATGGATTTATTGCAGCCGTGGACACAATACTACGGCCAGTGCCAGCTATAGCTCGTCCGGGGGCTGCGTAACTGAAGCTGCCTTGTATGAGCTCTTCAGGATTGTTCGTCACGATATTCCTGGGGACGCCGGGCTTGGAGGGATATTTAGACTCAATATACTTCACTACTGCAGGGTCATTTGATGATATCGTCACCACTGCATCACCAGAAGGTGATGATCCTGAAACAAATTAATCGACTGAGTGGTTATCACTCATTTAAATTTTGTGGAAATCGTAATAGCTCAAGTAAATTATAAAATTAATTAATTTTAAAATTGCGCGTTGTTAACACATATTTTAAATACACTATTAGAACTTAACGCGATGAAAAATTTTTACAAGTAAATAGTACCTATGTACCTGTTTCTTTATTGCCGACGTTTCGACATGGGTTCATCACGTCGTGGTCACGATAAGACTTTTAGATGTTCTTAAGTTCCAGTGTATTTAAAATATTAAAAATTATTAAGTAACATAAAACTCAATACACCAAACAGAAAACAAAAATTCCTAATGCTTAAAACTTTACCGAACTATTTAGCCAGTGTTTTAAGCTGTCGATTAATATTATCATCTTGTGATAACAAAAGAGACTGCTTCTCGGTGACCTTTGGAATATCTCAGTCGGACAATGTAAGAAACTAATTTTTTTAATTAAGTTAGACTGAATTTTCCGAATTAAATAGACACTCGTTGTCTGGTCTGTCATGACAACCTTGAGAGAGTCTTCTATTTTACTAATACTACGTTATTTGTTACTCAAATATATTGCAGGGAATCCATCAGTGGATGCAGGTGGCTTAAGACAATTCTTTATGGCAGTCTATGGAGGAAACCTATGTTCAGCAATGGACGAATAATGGCTGAGATGATAATAATGTTATTTATAGGTCAAACATAAGACACATAGTTACCTTTTAATATTACAGGAATTCCACGAACTGTATTAGATACCGCGATCAATACAAATATTGATAAAATTGCTCTAAACATGTTTGAAGATATCGAAAAAAAAAATATAGTAATATTCTTTATAAATTTGTCGTAGAAATGCTGTTGTAACGAAAAAGCTCAGCTATTTATAGGTTGCTATGGAGCAGCTCTATAATTTTGATAATTAAGGAGTATTTGGGATCACTGAACCCAGACTGTTTGTGTTTGAATACTTTCTGACCAAATGCTAAGCTGATTAATTTGCTCTTATCAGCAAAAATAAAGAAATTAACTGTTCGCCAATTTCTAATCCATGTGCCTTTTATGGCTAGTCATTTACAGTTACATATCCAAAATTCACGTATGGCTCATAAATACGAACAGAAATATATTATAATAGTGACAAAACGGTGACCTTTGGCCGTTTATTAATAGTAAGTAACAGTACAGTCAAGTACATAAGTAAAAGAAATTAATTTGTCTCTTTTGATAAAAAATGCAACTTCTAATTTCGTATTCTGTGGATATTTGTTTCGAAAAAAAATAAAGAAATATACGACTGGCCATTAATAAAAATTAATTAACGTCTTTCTTAAAAATTTCTTGAAATTAATTAACGTTCTAAATTTTAACATAAAGATTTATATGTATAGGTATGAAATATCTGTACTTCACGCGACATACAACACACATACACACACACACAGACACACAATTATAGCGTTACTTGCATCTTTCGTTTTGCCGTTGACAATTTTGGATCCACAATTTGTATACCTACTAACGCCATAGGCTTGAGCACATCACAACGAACCTCATCACAGATTTAAATAGAAATAATCTTTATTTAAATAGATTTGTTATATATATATATATATATTTTAAAATTTTTATTTTTATTTTATCTTTATTTGGTCTCCTAGCAATTGTTACACTTATAAGATTTATATAACATATATATAAAATATATATAAACTCTTTTAAATCGTCACTTTTCAATTTTTATTTCTAATTTTAAAACATTTCGAATTTAAACTTTTCGAAATAGAGTATTTATTTCTTAATTTAAATCCATTATTTCATTGAATTTCATTTATTATAATTTATAGTAGGCCATAGAATTGTGAACAATATAGATATATTTTTTACTTACTCATAAGGTTAATATAGACCATATTAAAACCTCAAATCGGCTTAATTGAGATAAAATATTAAGTAAAGAAAACTTTTTTGAGATAAAAACTATCCCAAGCATAAAAATGTAAGCTAGTAAATGCTATTCTAATTTTTTTTTTTTATTATAATTTACAAGGAACTTTCAGCGCACGAGTCCAACTCTCACTTGACTTTTTACTTTATGATTCTACTACTTGCTTCAGAATGTTATTATCTACTAAGAAGAATCTGTAAGAAACTTAACACTTACTCTTTTCAATTTATTTATGTACCTACGATTTCAGCCAACTCAACATCTTGGTCCTCTACGTCGCCACTAGTCTGAACCTTATACTGAATGTGACTTACTTCAAGTTACTTGACTATATTATGAGTACAATTTACATCAATACACTACCTATCTAATAATCAACAAGATTTCTTATATGTATACAATACGATTAATTTATTACTTATTTAAAAAATACTATAGATATAGCTGAAATGACTAATGACCACCAAGTTGCTACACCAAGCCGGTTCTAATATAACACCTGACATTCTATCAATATACAGTTAGACTGTTCAAAGGTCTGTAACATCTTAACATCGTGCAAAAAGTCGATGATTGCTTTGAACAATTGACTTTCTGGCTTGTACAAGTCCGTTATTATTATAGTGTTTTAACGTTCGCGCATAAATATTTGGAATTAAATCCAGGTGTTAAAATGGTAATTTTGGGAGAATTATAGTCATAAGGCAGGCGCGAGGAAAATTGATCTGTCGTCCGACGAATATTAATATTTATTAAGAACCGTTTGGAATGAATATAAACTGAGAATCCAATGTCCCGCTTGCATTTCGAGATAGAGCTTGCATCATGAGGATATTTTCGCAAGCAGTGCTGCTTATCACCGCTGTAGTTGTCACCGCGGCCTGGACCAGTACGTATTTTTGTTACAAGATAATCCGTCTTTAGATAACCAAAAAGCTATATCCTCCAGTTCCAAAATCAAAACTTATCTAATTTGTTCTGAAGATTTTGGAAATCATCTAGCATATAGTCCTGTTAGCAAACTAATATAATTACAATATGAACGATTACAACTGTCGATGTATCACTCGCGTGTTATTATGATGATTTTGAGTTACAGTACCCTGTAATTTTACTGTCACATGTGTATTAGTTGGCTGCAGATATAGATGAGATAGAAGCACGAATTTGTCCCTGTACTCGTACAAAGTCTGTTATTAAATTGACTACACTTATTTCGTAGATCAAATGTTCATCAAGAAAAGTATTAAAAATATCCAATAAAAACAAACTAATCACGTTGACATTTATAGAGATTTTGTTTTAAATCAATATTGGTATGTAGAAGCCAATTTAATTAACTTGCTAGTTATTAACATTATAACAGCTGACTGTTATAATGTTAATAACTTTTTGTTAAATGTTAACAATTTTTTTTCAATACGACTACTGATAGTCGTACTGAAAAAAAATTGCATGCTTTATATATTAGCTGAATATGGAACTGTTTATGTATCGTATAAGAACTTTGTCATTACCTATTTAAACCAAATAAAGCATTCTTATTTTTAACAAATAAATATGAATTGTTTCTCATCCTAACGTCCTAATTGTTTGCAGTTGAGCACAAACCGAAAATCAAACGTCAAGAAGCTTTCAAACCTTTCAACACAAACAGTGGACTAACGGGAGTTGCTAGTATTGCTGGCGTCACCTCTCGAAATGGTAGAGTGTCATCGCTTAGCGGAATCAAATTGTTCCCTTCAGTAAACCAAGAAATTGTTGGCAACGGTGACGCGAGACAATTCTTCTATCCACTTACGGTTTCTAAAGAAAGTGATGGAAAATTTGCATCCAATAGCATCCAAGTCTACCCAGGTTCTGTGATTGTGTCAGCTAAATCTGGATACGGTCCAAATGTAAAGTCGTGGCCAGCAAAATTGGATTTGCCATTTGACGGTGACATCTTTCTACAACCTGATTTAGACGTATTCAGTACTGCAAGAAACTTAGACACGTGGTTCCCCAAGAACATATTTAGACCTATAGTACCACCGACTATTGACAACTTTAGAAACAACTGGCTTTACCCGACATACAATCCTTTTGTTAATATATGGCGGTAAATATATTATGGTATTTTAAAAATGATTAAAATAATTATGACGCCTTCCTTGTATTGAAATAAAATATTTATTACTGCTTGATGATTTCATTCTCTTTTCGGTTGATCGCATACATGGTCCGTATTTTTAAGGGATGTTAGATAGATAGCTACTTTTTATTGTTTCCTCCATAAGATTACAATAGTAAACTTATTATAAATACACTACAGCGATCTCTGATCTCTACCAGACAACCTTTGATGATAATGGAATGGTTACCCCGCCCGCGCTAACGATATACGCTAGCGGGCATTAGTGAGGGATGATAGGTGAGAATGAAAAGGCAGTTCAGTTAGTCCAGCGTGATGAATACACCTGGAATTCTGCACAATGGTTTCTAGGAGAGACCACGTGGAATTCGACTTGAATATATCCTATATTGCCAGCCATTGCTAGTAATATACCAATGTTAATAATATCCAAATCCCATTGGATTGATAGTCAGAATTACTAACAATCCTTTCCCTTAATCCTAATATAGTCCATATTGCACCTATGTGTATTCCCTCAGGATGATGTAGTCACATGTCATGATATTATTAAAAAAAAAACATATCCAAGACAGTTGGACTGTAGTAAATGTTTGACTGTAACGGTTAAGCTATTATCCTCGGCGTGATCTATATTCAACGTCTATAAAGAGTCCGTTGCTCTTTGGTGCATTCGTAAAAAGCAGACAACCATCAGACGGTTTTGAATTCTTGACTATCTCCGAATATGAAATGACTAAAGAATTAGCATTGGCAACGTCTTATATGACGAGAATTTTATTAATTAATTAACTTAAGCTTCATTAAATTAACTTAAAGTCGAGTTCATTCGAGAAGATCCTTTTTTTTAATTATTTTTCTTACAAATTATTACAATAAACACACAGTACTCGGGGGTGAAGGGATTATTAGTAACGGAGATTAGCAATCCTATTGCCAGCAATATACCCTATCAGGTCGACCTCCACGCGGTTCCCGCTGTAAACGTAATTGATTTATTTTTAAATTCGGCACGATGGACCAACAAACCTGCTTCATCATCATGTATCATCCCTCACTGGTACCTCGCCAGTGTCCACCGATAGCGCAGGCGAGGTAACCATTCCATTGTCATCTATAAACAAAAATACACAGTACTTAGCTTATGACAGTACTGGCAACGCCCTTCGCTAGATTCCCATATTATTGTACATAAGTTATATCAGCATTAGAAATCGTACACCCACTCCACACAATCATTATGCAATGGTGATGAAGGGTGATTCTAAACAATTTTAGTCATCGAACTACTTTATATAATTAAAATAAACTATTTATCTATAAATAATATATAAATATATTTATAAATATGTTATATATATATAACATAAATACCATGTAGTCCCGGCATAGAATTGGCTATGTTTTTCTTTCCCGTAGGTGTCATAAGAGGCGACTAAAGAAACTTAATGGTCGAGCGATAAGCAGCAGCTTCCTTCTTAAAACATCTTCAAAGCCTAACTGCGGTTGCCAATCCGCCTGCCAAACGTGGCAACTACTAGCAAAACCCTCCAAGGAGGAGGATTGTGTTCAACAGTGTATAGTTAAAGGCGGATATGATGAAATATGTACATACAATATAATTGTTAATAAACAATGACTGTAAATAAGAGACATTTAAGAAAAATATTTATGAGGGGTTTTAAAAAGAGAATTAGTAACCACAATAATGTTTTATATTCTTGTCTGTCTGTCTATTTGTGCCAAAAGGCCGGCAGCACACCTGCAATGCCTTTGGTGTTGTGGGTGACCATGGGCGGCGGTAGTCACTTACCATCAGGTAAGCTTGTTTGCCCCCTGTGTTGTAACAAAAATAAAAAAATATCACATAAAAATTATTGTACCAATTTGGATGCGGTTTGGTTTTAACAGTTGTGTGCATTTTATCTTGTTAATCTTGTTATACTATTAAAACATATTTCCTATATCATTGATTTTTCTACTTCTAAAATCCACGCGTTAGAAGTCGCGAACAAAACCTAATAAATAATATTAAGAAAAAATTTTTATTTTAAATCTAAATTTTCGTGAGAATATTAAATTTTTTACTATTTATTTACTTAAATTTATCTTTAATGTACCTTATAAATTAAAATGATACCTAGATAGGTAATAAACAATTATAACAACCTACGAGTTTTACACGTTGGCAAAAAAAACATTTTATAATGCAATATCAAATAGAATGAAATCGTTAATTCGATTATGCATATGTTAATCTATACCTTCGTCAATTCTGATTGATAATCTTATTATTGCTGTATAAGGTTTATTTCCGATCTTTTTTATTCTAAGTTATTTGCATGGCTGTGTTTCGGTTTGAAGGGTGGGATATGGCGTCAATTTACTGGGTACAGAGGAATAACACCTGAGTCCTCAGGAATGGCAACGCATGGGGGGTATCATGGGCGAAACAGTATACTCTGTTATGTCCATAGTACTGCTCATGTCTATAGGCGACGGTTACCACTTTCCATCAGGTGGACCGTCAGCTTGTTGGCCATTCTAAGTAGTATAAAAAAAAGTTTTGTTGAGGTTTCAGTACATTTGGGTGTACTGTGTACAGTGTCTGAATATTAGGTTTGTCGTTGTAACTATTTAGAGTCACATTTACTTACAGATATAGGCGTTTGGCATTGTGAATACCAAGTTGGTTAAAACTAAGAAGTTGGCTTGACGGCACCATTATATGAAGGTACATTCCACCAGTAAATGTAAAAGGTCTCCTATTTTATTACAGTATGTACAATTTGGTGACTGCTTAACTCCCATAAGGTCCATAATGTCCATGGTACTACTCATGTCTATAGGCGACGGTTACCACTTTCCATCAGGTGGGCCGTCTCTTGTTTGCCATTCTAAGTAGTATAAAAAAAGGTGATAAAATTTGGTGCATGGAATATGGCCAGATTGCAGCATGAATGCTGTAACTAAATAGTATCTCGAAAGGCATGTTGTAGGTCCTATCTAAATTATTCACAATTTTAATATTATTTTAGTCAATGTGGAAGAAAATTGTAATTTATTATTAATATTTTAAATTTAATTAATTATAATTTACATTAAATATTTTCTCCCACGCCAATTTGTAAAAACAAAAAATTATAGAATCACGCTGCTCAAATGACACACATTCACGCCAAAGTGTGACAGCGTCGCGCGCGCAGTGTTCGCGGCGCCAGCGTCACGATGCGCGTACTACTGTTGCTCGCTCTATCCACGGTGTGTCTGGCCGCGCCACAACTATCCAGGTCCAATCTGCAACGTGGATATAATGGTGAGTCATCGTCATCTTCGTATCAGCCTTTAACTTTCCATTGTTAAACATAAATAAGCCTCCACCTTGAGGGGTATTGCTAGTAGTTGCCACACTTAGCATGCAGATTGGCAACCGTAGTTAGGCTTTAGAGATGTAATAAGAGGGACGCTGCTGCCCATTGCTCGCTCTCCCTTAGTCGCCTCTTACGACACCCACGGGAAAGGAAGGGGTGGTCTATTCTATGCCGGGACCACACTGATAAGTGTACTGCACAAAATCTTAACATATATATAAAAATCTCGCGTCTCGATTTTCATTCGCGCTAACTCCGAAACCGCTCAATCGATTTTAAAGTTACATTATCTTTTATTTGATTTAGGTCTATATATATATATATATATATATATATATATATATATATATATATATAAATTGTTATTGTGACCTCTGTTTGTTAAATAATATATATATAAATAATATATATATATATATATATATATATATATATATATATAGCAATAATTTTTGTACTGGCACCTATTACTAAATATTTTTTAATAATAGATGACAATTATCTGTTGTTTGCTCCAACTTGAGAGATAGGATAGTTATTATTCAGATAAGAAACAAATGACCCGATAGGTGGCAGCAAATGGCAAAACAACGTTTACAGGAACAACTAGACATATATATATATATATATATATATATATATATATATATATATATATATACTTAATTAATTCAGTGTACAAGGAAAGGTTTCCTATCTTTGTTGCTTCACTAACTTGCTCTCTTACAATGGTAGGTAAAATCTTGATGAGTAATCAACGACTAATTGAATATTCAATGTCAATTCCGTACAAAAATATTTTTCGCATAAATTAGCAACCGAATAGGTTTAGTGTACATAGATATATGGAAGGCCTCGCACAAATGAGAAATTTATCTTTTTTTTTAATTGCTGTTAAAGTTTTTAATATTTCGTTAACTCTTTAACTCTCTACGCTCTTTTGCTCTCTACTGTTACTTGTATAGAGAATTAAACAATTTTTTTTAATGATTATTAAATGGTAACTCTGGGACATTGGTAAAAACTGGCGGTGCACCAGTGAGGCATGATAGATAAAGATGAATTAATTGCGATGGCCTCCAGGGACCATTCCAGGTTTCCGCGATATTATCTGTAACTGCTGAATATAGACATCCTCCATAGAAGTGGGGTTCTACCAACAGTTGCCACGTTTGGCAAGCGTGGTATTTTAATCACTGTGTTACTACAGCAGACATTTGAACTAACAGAACAATCAAATAGAGGCAGTTAAAATGTAGACTTTTGTCTTGCGATGCGATTATATATGTAGACGCAACCCATTTTATTCGAATAATCCTCTTTCTTTTTATTTCATATAATATTGTTTATCATAGAGTAAGTATTGAAACAGATAGTTCCATTTTAATTTTGATTGGTTATATTTAATACATTAGTTGTAATAATAATTATTTAAAAAAAAAAACACTAAAACATTAAAATATTAATTAATAGTGACCATTTCGATAATTTGTGCTGCGTGGTCCCAGCATAGAATAGGCGATCTCTTCCTTTCCCATAGGTGTCGTAAGAGGCGACTAAGAGAACTTAATAGTCCAAGGATGAGCACCAGTCTCTCTTA